TAGTCAGCCATAGAAAAGAGTTCAGAAAGATGGTAGAGTAGCAAGATTACTGCTGCCTGAACTTAAACAATGGTGGGTTTTAGCATTTACCCTGAGTAACAGAGAGAGCCATTGCCATTAAAATAGAGCAAAGCCATGATATGTTCTAACTTGTGAATTTAAATAATAATTATAGCTAATGTGCTGAGGGTCCATAATTGAGTCAAAGGATACATAGGTAAAAGCAGGGACACTAGGTAAGAGTCTATTGTAGCAAATGGGTTGAAACATGATCATGGTTCAGAATTAGGTGACAACTCTAAAAATGATGAAACTCTTGCATTTGGGATCTATGTTAAAGTTAAAGGCAACAGGACTCTCTGATAGAGTGAATGTATGATCTGAGAAAAGCAAGTAGAAAAAATGTGCCATCAGTCAAGACGGAGAACAACATGAGTTGAGTCTGTTTGGGGGACTTGTTTCGAAGTTCTAGCAGGGAGTGCAGCTACTCATATACCCTTGACCAAAAGACAGTGCTCCTATCAGGGAAGGTTGGCTTCTTCAGTGGAGAGTGCAGCTTTCGGGGGGACACACATGGAGCATTGAGGGAGGAAGGGGACACCCACATAACCAGCCAGAATAGTCAACAACCCTGGTGATCAATGTGGTGGCAGATGGCACAGCCAGGTCGCCCTCACATCCTTGAGTCTGTGTGTGGGTAGAAATAGAACCAGGAATACGGATTTGGACTTGTTCTGTGTCATTCAGGTGGGAATGGGAAGGAAGTAGTTGGATGTCCAGGCCTCAACCTCAAAGAAGAAGTCTGAGATTAATTTAGTAACATTGGGTTACATGTTGGAATTCTAACTTCAAAGTCAGTGGCTCAAATCAACAAGTCACTCTGTGGAAGGAAAATGAGGCTTCTCCTCCCATGAAGATTTATTGTCTTAGAAGCCCTGAATAGGGTTGCTATGAGTGAGATTCAGTTCTACAGCAGGTTGTTATTGTTGTTTGTTTGTGTCTTCTGTTAGTCATATAAGGAGAGTATATGAAGAGGGAGAGATCAAGTAGGATAAATGCTATCAATAGACATAAGATGGGAATTATGCAATTTCTGTTAAATTTAATGATGCAGAAGTCAGTAGTGATCTTTATTTATTTATTTTCCAAACCATTTTATTGGGAGCTAATTCAGACATCATGTTATTCCATAGTTCAATCACATAAACCAGTATTGTACAATTGCTACCAAAATCAATTTCAAAACATTTTTTCCTTCTTGAACTCCTTGATATCAGCTCTCACTAGTGATTTTTAGAAGAAAATTTTAATGAGGCATTAATGCCCAAAAGAAGTGTGATGTGCATGTGGCTTCTGATCTCCAATAGCAGGAGGAAGAAGAAAACTCATCAGTGTCAGCCACTCAAGGTCTGTTTCTATGGTGCTGAGGTGAGCATGCCCCACCCTCCAACTAATTCTGACATCAGACATGCTCTACACCTCTAAACAACTTTGACACCAACTAGTCCTTCCCACAGCACTCTATACTTGTCAGCTGGGTTCAATAATTCCTTGCAATGGCCACAGGAACTCACAGATGATTTTCACAATCATGGTATTTAATAAAGGAGTTAACTGATTATAATTAAGATGACAAATGATTAGGAAAATAATAGTTATTCAATTAGGACAGCTTCTTGTCTTTTGTGTCCTCAGGCAGGCCTCTCTCTGGCTTTCACTTTCTTAGTCTGACTTGTGCCCTGCCTGCTCAGGTAAAATTACAAAACACTTCAGCTCTGCCAATCAATGTCCAAAGGGCATACCACTCTACCATCAGTCTCAACCCAAAGGCACTGAGCTCTTGCTCCATAGGCTAGCAAGCTTAGCTCCCCGAATGAAGTGCGTGGAAGGCACTCCATTCCACAAGACAGCCCCTGGAAAAAGCCACTCCGTTTTAATTGCTCCATAGGCCAGGAAGTCTTCAGGCCTTCCTGAGGAAGTCTCAGGCTCCGGATCTTGGTTCTGCTGATTCCAGTGGCCCCTGCTGCCCCTCTGTTACCACAGCTATCTACTAGATCAGGGAGGGTCAATGCACAGGGACCTGAGGGTCCAAAAGATGGACTTCGCAGTTCTATTCTGACATATTTGAGGTCACATGAGTCCGAATTGACTCCACGGTGACTAGGAGTGTTTGAGCCATGGTGTTTACAGGAAGAATGGATGGACACAACCCCTCCCTAACAGTCTGGTGGACGAAGCAGGGAAAATAAAAGTATACATATTTATTTATAAAGTAAGTATTGAATGTATCTTAAGAATATAAATGAATGATGAGGTAGAAAAAAGATAACTGAGAGAAATACTGGAGGAAAGTACTCGAATTGCTAAGGTGGTAGGTGACCATTTGAAAAAGGAAGGGGCAAAAAGGCGAGGGATCCCCGGATCAAAAGAATTTGGGAGAGATTCCAGCAGAAAGAAGGGCGAAACTGGAAGTTTGGAACTGGGAAAGGCTTGGGTTGTCCAAAAGTAGCTTAAGGAAGAAAAGAAGGATGTGACTGAAGTCCTGTGGAAAAGAGAGTGGGCTAAAAATGTATAGGGAAGTAGGCGGCATTGTGTTAGGCAGAGCACGATAATACCTAGAGTGGATTTGTGTGTTTAAAGATGCTTCTGAGCATTGTGTAAGCAGAGATTGGCGTGAAAGAGATGGTGAGACCTCACTAAGCCTGTTGCTTTTATTTAAAAAACCCAAAACATCTGTTGCTGACATGGAAGCTAGTGTCCACCCACAGTTTGTTGTCTCAGCCAAAGTTTCTTCATGGCATTTTTCACCTCTGCGTTCCTCAGGGTGTAAATCAAGGGATTTAACATGGGCGCAACCATGGTAAAGGACACAGCCATTGCTTTGTCTATGGGGTACGTAGCCACAGGTCTCATGTACAAGAAAATGCATGGCACAAAGAACAAGATGACCACCATAAGGTGGGAGCCACAGGTCGAGAGGGCTTTACGCCGCCCTTCAGAGCTGCAAGACTTCAGAGAGCATAGAATCACCATGTAGGAGATGATGAGGATGAAGAAAATGGTTACACACATCACCCCACTATTGAGGATGACCAACAGGCCCAGGAAATGAGTGTCCATGCAGGCCAGTTTCAACAATGGAAATAAATCACACATAAAGTGATCAATGATATTGGGACCACAGAAGGGTATTTGGTACATGAAGAGAAGCTGTATTGTTGCATGCACTGAGCCCCCGATCCAGGCCCCCCCGAGCAAAAGGCAGCACACTCGAGGACTCATGATGGTCATGTAGTGCAAGGGCTTACAGATGGCCACATAGCGGTCATAGGCCATCACAATGAGAAGGATGATCCCCACCCCACCAAAGAAATGTTCTGCAAAGAGCTGGGTCATGCAGCCTGCCAGGGAGATGGTAGTGCTCTCAGAGAGGGAGTCTACAATCAACTTCGGGGCGATGACAGAAGAATAGGTGGCATCCATGAGGGACAAGGAAGTAAGGAAAAAGTACATAGGTGACCTCAGGCTCTGACTTGCCGTCATAGTGACCACAATGAGTAGGTTCCCAAACACGGTGGCCACATACATGACTAGAAACACAGCCGATAATATTTTCCGCAGCTCTGGGTTCTTTGTAATGCCCAAAAGAATGAATTCAGTCACATTGTTTGGCTTCTCCATTTACTCTGGGCTAAAGTGGAGCACATAGCTCTGAGCTGGAAAACCTGCAAGAGAAAGTTCTTTATAGTAAAAATATTTTTCATGTCTATAATTCAAGGGAATCAATCGTATCATACATGTTGGGCAACCACTTATATTTCTTGCCAAATGTGCCATACCATAAATAAAAATGCAATGCTTCCTAATAATTGTTTCCCCTCCCTCCTGATCTGGTAACCACTATTCCACCTCAATACCTATGCATTTGACTATCTTTGTTATTCCATATTAGTCACAGGATATGCAACATGATAAATTAATATTATTTATAAGTGGTAATTACTTAGCGTGCCAGATATGTTTTTGTGACCTAGCTCTCCAACTATTGCAATGACAGACATCTGTTTGCACTTAGAGGCCTGACAGTCGCCTGATCCTACAGATCACCCAACAACAGCTCATTCTGTCCTTGTACTTGCTGTTTAAGATAGATAGGAGACCCTTCTACATCATCTTGATGTAAACGCACACTTAGAAATATGAAGGAGTTCACATCCCATAGTGAATCTTTGACCAGTAGGATATAGGAACTAGTGGATAAATAGTAACCAGCTTAACACAATCTTGGTTGGCCTTCTTTTTCAATCCCTATTTTACTCTACCCTGTTCCTCTGTTCTGTTTTCCAAAATAAACCAACTGCACACAATCTCCTACCTCAGCCTCTTCACAACCAATCAAAGATGGCAGCCTTCATTCATCACTAGCAACACCCAGGACTTGAGAAAATTTCCTATGAACATTGATTCATTTCTTTCTCATATTTATTGAGCACCTAGTTGTGCTAGTTGAAAAACCTACAATCAAGCACTCTCTATTTATTAAGGCCAATTCTGTGCTCCGATCTACATTTCTTCATTTTCAAACTGGTTTAGTTGTCGTTTATATCATTATTGTTTGTCAGGGTTTTTTTTTAATGAACCAGTTTTCACTCAATAACTTTATATACTACAGAATAAAACCCTCTCCGGTCTGGTACCATCCACACAATCATGACTATTTGGGCCCATTGTCAATTCCTATCGCCGAAGAGATTTCTCTTCTCAGCTGACCTTCTAGTTTTCTAATCATGAAGTCCTGTTTGTTCAGAGCATGGGCCCTCCTGATTACAAGACCAAAGTGCATGGCACAATGTCTCACCATTCTCACTTCTAAGTAACGTTCTTGCTGATTTATTCTTTCTTATTCCAGTCCATGGAATATTCTATGTTCTATAGGCCAACACCATAATTCAAATGCATCTAGTCTTCATCATCTAATTTTCACATGCATGTGAGACAATGGGAAATATTAAGGCTTGGATAAGGTGCAACCTTATTTCTCAAGGAAACATGTTTTTGACATTTTTAAATAGGTATTTCAAAGCAGATTTGTCCTATGCAATTGGTAAATTTGTTTGATTTCTTGACTGCTATTTCCATGGGATTTGTTCATGGATCCAAGTAACATGAAATTCTTGACAATTTCAGCCTCTTCTCTGTTGATAATGTTATTGTTCATTGGACCAATTAATCTCATCATGTATTGCTAAAAGTACTAAGTGAATACATACCTTGTCTGAGACAGTGGGATATCCTGTGAGCTATTTTCCTCATTTTACAGAGAAGATCATGAGATTTAGAGAAGTGAAGCAAAATGACACCAAGGCCACACAACTAGTAAATGCTAAAGTAAAATTAAAATACAAGTTTTTCTGGTTTCAAAATCAATTCTATGAAAAATGCATACTGCTTCTTTTATGCTACTATCAAATGCTTAGTATGTATATACTATATACTGTATATATATATATACTATATGCTGTTTCATGATATAATTCCATTTTCCAAACAATACAGTGAGATAGATGTATGCTTCCTACACTTAATAAGACAATTCTACAGTAAATAACATATTCTAATTATATACATCAATTATCTACATCAATGATCTAACCCTGGACCTTTGAATTACTAATTTCTCATGGTTTCTAATAATTGCTCAGATGAGTCAATTAGAGAGTAAAATCTTATTATCTTTCTCTGTTCCAGAAAGAACCTGATTCAAAGCTAATTGACACCTTCCTTGCATGTAGACAAACTTCATATCATTCTCTCCCTTCTTTCTTATGAAGAGGTACTGTCCAATAGAACAACAGTTCCTAAAGAACACTCCAGGTCTCCAAGACTCAACTCATATGACATTTATTTACTATATGCTAACCAGGTACTAGGAATACATGAACTCATTTTCCTCCACATCCAATGGGATGAGCACTGTCAAAAATCCCATCCATGTTGAGAATGAGGAAATAGACTCTAAAGACCTTTAGCATGTCATCTAACAAGAGTGGAGATTTAGGAATCCAGATAATCTTTTTTCTCTTTTTTTCCTCATAGCAGAAATGCCCACCTATTCCATTCTACCAACAAAGAAGTGATCCTACGACCCTACTAGCAATGACCTCTGCAGGAAAGAACAAAGGATATGGTAAAAACACTGACTAATTCTGAAGGAAGAAAAATTCCCTTTACTCGGGGTGCTTGAGCAAAGGCTGTCACTTGATTGGGCCACTGAAGGCATTACTATAAATGGGCTTTTAAATCCTGCGTCCCCTAAATGCTAAGTGACCCAATCTTAATATCACCCCTGACCTTCACTAAACAAAGGAGACAACTCAGGACGCTCTTTCCACCTCTACAATATAGACCAATCCAAACTTTTCAAAAATCTTCAGTCCAAATCATTCAAAATTTCTTGAATAGCTCTAATTAGAAAGAACACATTCTTGGAAATCAGGATTCAAACCCCAAATAACCTGCTGCCATCGAGTCCATGAGATACAAACCATTCTTATGGTTTTCTGAAAACTCCATCTGGTTTTGTGAAGCAGTGGGTGATGCCTTGGAACTTGCGAAACACCCTTACAGACTTCTGGTAGAGAGAAGGGGCTCATCACCAATGCTCTACAACCCATCTAACAATTCAGTGTCCTGCTGGCAGTGGTGCTGTGATGACCAAAGGAACTAAAGGGCATCTGATGCTTTAGGGAGCACTGCTCCAATACGCATCATGTTCAATTTTCACTCTTATATGCTTCTACTTCCTCCTGTCTCTGCCCATGTCCCTTGCTATCAACAAATGTGCCATCACTCCTCAATCAAGCCTCACTACATTAGACTCCCTTCCCAACAGTCTTTCTGAATATGTCGCTGAACATCCATGGTGTTTCTAATATTCTATAGTCTGCACAATCCTGCAATGAACATCACTTTACAGATACCTTTACTTACTATTTTTATTTTTTTATTGGAGAAATCCTTAGAAATACCATCTTCAAGACAAAGAGTGTGCATGCATTTTTTAAATGATTGACTCTCTAATGTTAAAAGTCCTTGCTGGAAAGTCATTTCTGACTCAGGGTGATCCTATAGAGCAGCATAGAACAATCCCATAGGGTTCCTAAGGCTGTAAATATTTCTGGAAGCATTCTAGCAATTCTTTCTGTCACAGAGCAGTAGGGTGGGGTCAAACTGCTTCCCAATACTTAATCCACTGTGCCTCCAGGGCTTCTTTGCTGTCACATTATTCTCTGTTTTATTCCCATCTGCACTAGATTGAAGACTCATTTTCTCTGCAAGCTTGCTAGCAGTATATATTATCAATCTTGGTCATATTCAATAAGCTAAAGGTGAAAAATAACATTTCACTTAATTTCCATTAATGCAGACATCCTTTAGATGGATTTCATTGACAATGTAGATGATAAATGTATTATTGATGTCCAAATAAAGCTAGATTAAATATAATTTAATATGTTGAAAGATATTATCTATGCATAGTTATCCATAGCTAGTTACCATGAGTAAGAATGTATTTTAAGCATCTAAATTTTTGTGCTTTGCTAGCACAATATACAAATTATCTTATTTTATTCTTATATCTGTCACACAGGAAGCATAGTTGATGCTTGAGAAAGAGCAAAAAAAAATCAAATTGCTCAAAATATAGCAGTAAGTAAGTAAGTAGCATTCTCAATTTGAATCCTGGAAGCCTGCTTTATAGCTGATGTATGTTTCCTGTGTCTGGACTCCTTATGGAGATAAATTATGTCTCCCATGAAATCCTGGATAACAAGAAGATGCAAGCAAATGCTTTGGTGAGGGTCCCTGGGTTATCATTTTTAATGAGCAATTAGTGGCCTTGGTTTTTTTAGAAGGTCTGTGCCTTACATATACACATCTTAATAAAGGCTGTCTAAGGGACTATTTCTGCCAATAAGTCTTGCTAATTCTTCATGATTTTCTTGAGAGATGAGGACTAGCTAATAGAGATGGAATTATCTCCAGAAGCACTTTTATAGAGTGGAAGCTACCACTATACCATTGTACATACAAAAATTAATATGTATTTGGAATACGATTGAAGGAAGGGGAAGTTTATTATCATTTTTATTACTTTTTTTTAACATCTCTACCTTGTTCCTAAGAAAATCGCATGCATCACCCATAACACACCAGGCCCAACTCCGTGAGCAGAATGCTCACAGAGAGTTGTGTAGGTTTTTATATTATAAATAAATTGTATTGAGTTCACCTCAACATTACATTAGCAATTAAAATCAGAAATTTAAAGTAACCTAAAAAATATCTAAAAGGAAAATGGAATTAAAAATAAATAGTTTTATGAACTTTTGTAAATACAGATATGTTTGTATGTATATTTGGAAAATATATATAGTTAGATATTCGGGGAGTATCCAAAAAAAGGAATTTTTTTCAAAGCTATGAATTTAAATTTTTTTACAAAGCAACCTTATCACCTTCAAAATACTCTCCATCACACTTAATACATTTGTCGAATCTGTGATTCCATTTTTCGAAAGATTTTTCAAACTTATCTGTTTGAATGGCTCACAGCACCTCCTTCATTTTTTTCTTCACCTCTTTTACATCATCAAATCACTTTCCTTTCATGTCCCTCTTCATTTGCA